GCTGGGGTTAAATCCGTCAAAACTCACTTGTATCGTGTCATAGGAGCTCAAATATTGACTTACGAAGAATTGAATACCATATTTATTCAAATTGAAGCCTTTTTGAATTCAAGGCCCATTACCCCCATCAGTAACGACCCAAATGACTTAACTGCCCTCACTCCTGGTCATTTTTTAACCATGGAGCCTTTAGCTTATCTGCCTGAGCCTGATGTCACTTCTATCCCAATATCACGTTTGGATCGTTGGCAACTTCTTCAAAGGATCCATCAAGACTTTTGGTCCAGATGGTCGAAGGAGTATCTTCATACTCTACATCAACGAACTAAATGGCATAAAGTGACCGCTTCCTTGGAAGCTGGAACGTTAGTTTTAATTAAAAATGAGTTAGCGCCGCCAATGAAATGGCATCTGGCCAGAGTGATGCAGGTACATCCAGGGTTAGACGGGGTTGTCAGGGTTGCCGCCGTGCAAACTTCGAACGGATTGCTCAAGCGTCCGGTGGTAAAGCTTTGTCCTTAGCCACTTTATTAATTCAAAATTGCATTGCAATTTTGGTGGGCGGAATGTTTCGTCCACTCAATAGTTTTAAGTTATTTGTATTAAATTGCTGAGATTGTCCTTCATTGAAATCATTTTGTTTTGTTCCTTTTGCCAATTATTTATTGAAGTACATACTTTAAATTTGGAGTAAACTTTTAATCCACGATTCACCCTTCATATTATTTCGCGTTCTTGAATGTTTGAAGGTCTTTATCTACTTAACGCATTGCCCTCAAATATGCGTGGAAAAATCCTACGAAAATTCAACGTGACGCATTGGAAATTATAAACCAGTGCATTTTTGGGAATGGTCGCGATTAGATGCCCTCCGTTCTCGACCAATTTTGCTCGCACTCAACCATACCAAAAATAAATTGCCGGCCGGCCATCGTGGTATTCGCGAACCGTGATCGATCAAGTTCAACCGCAACTCCACAACTCGCCGCTGTAAACTGGATTAGGTAAGATCTCAATTGTACTCGTAATTTTGAAACCGCAAAATACAGTCCACTTTTCTCACAGGTGACTAGATTTTGGAAGTCAAGTATTATTTAAATATTGAAATTTTACTCCGCATTCCGAAACCTGGTTCAAACACGACACCCCAATAAATATTCTCACATAAAATCCATCAATGACTTTTGACCTAATGCCTTAACATTTTTTTCTCTATTCCAAAAAAAAAAACTGTCTGATTCGAAATCCAGTAAAAGCCGTAAAAAAGCCTGTAAAATTTCAAATATGTACGTCGCAGAAAATTACCTTTTCCACTCGTTTTGCCATCAGGCTTTTAGAATAGTGTCGTACAAATTTTAGTCTGAGAGAACTTTTTACTTTCGAGTTGAAGGGCTGTTATATAATATTGCCATCATCAATATCTAGCTGTCAGAATATATCGCTCAATATCTATTTGAGATTTAATCAAATCAAGGGAGACGTTTCTCTGAATATTTTAAATATTTCTTTGTTAATATACAAAAAGTAAGTTTGTTCATCATTACTGGAGCGATTTAATTTCCTATAATTTCAAAAACATCTTTTATCGTTTTTCCGATATTCGCATCGAATACAAAACAAGTTTGGTGAAAATTGAACTCTTACTGCCGCAAACTTTGTAATCTTGAAACTTTGAGAGTGAGTGAAAAGTTGTTTAAAATCTAATAATTTGGAAAACTTATCACATAAATAATAATCTTGAATATTAATTTAGTACTTTTAGGTTTCCACTATTCTTCACTGCATTGGTTACGACTATCATTTCATAGTAGGAAAATCTTTTTGCATTTAAGTTTCCAAAATAGTCTGTTCAAGAAGCTCATTTCATACAGTTCAAATTCAACTGAGAAAAATAAGAATCTCATTCCTGGCTCTTCTATAAAAATCCTTCGATTTGTGATCATTTTAAAGTGAAAGTTGAGGTATAAAAGGGTCATTTTTGAACTTGTGAAGGAACATGAAAATTCTATTTCAGGCTCACCTAAAAGTGAAATTGAGCTATCAAACTCCGATGTATATCCAATTTAGAGTTATCGGTTACATAGAGCGGTTTGAAAACTTCATTTCTGAGCTTCAAATTCGATACCAATTTGTTTTATTCAATAGGAATACCCTAATCAATATATCTTGAAAGTTTCAATTTGCTCTGATTAGTCTAATTATTTTTCAAAAGTTTCTAGAGGTGATTATTCTATAAGGGATTTTTAACTACTTTTGGCTTTTTTTCTTGGGACTTTTGTCTATTCCAAGAGCTGCAATTTTAATTTTCTTCTGAAAGAAAACAGACATTTTATTCTAGAAAAAAAACCATAAGAAGGACCAGGAATATAAATAAAGAAAATTCACAAGCCTGGAATGAAGAAAATCAAAAACATAAAAAAATAATGAAAAATGATTTTCAAAAGAAGTTTTCTTGCTATTTTTTCTTTCATTTATTTCAACTTTTGTCTGTTCCAGGCTCTTGAATTATTGATTTTTTCTGAACTAAAATAACTAGAAATTCAATTTGATAAGGGCCAGGAATTAAGAGAGTTAGGCATCAAAAACAAAGACTCAGAGAGCATTTTACGTAAATTATTAGGAAGAAATTAGGTACCTTATGATTTGGATTTTTTAAAACTTTGTAGACCCATAACTTTTTTTCTATTATAGATAGAAAATTCGAATTTTCAGCGATTCTTATCCCAGTAGAGGACTACAATCCCTGAAAATTTCAGCTCATTTGCACTTATAGTTCCTGAGATAAAATCCTGTTAAGCAATTTGAGGTGATTTATCAATTTTTCAATTTTTCTGAGTGCCTTTTTTCATAGATTTCGACTTCAAATCTGAGAATAATTTAGTGTATGGAGTTTGGGGGATGTTGATTGACCATTAGGATACAAAATCTCGAAAAAAAAAAAATTTGAAATTTCATCGTTTTAGTAAGAAGGTCTCTACCTTATGATTTAGATTATGGAAAACTTTGGAAGGTCATAACTTTTTTACTATCATAGATAGAAAGCTGAAACTTTCACTGAATTTTATTCCAATCAAGGGACTACAATCCTTGAAAATTTCAGCTCATTTGCACTTTTAGTTCCTGAGATAAAATCGTGTTAAGCAGTTTGGGGTGATTTATCAATTTTTCAATTTTTCTGAGTGCCTTTTTTCATAGATTTCGACTTCAAATCTGAGAATAATTTAGTGTATGGAGTTTGGGGGATATTGATTGACCATTAGGTTACAAAATCTCGAAAAAAAAAAAATTGAAATTTCATCGTTTTAGTAAGAAGGTCTCTACCTTGATTTAGATTATGGAAAACTTTGGAAGGTCATAACTTTTTTACTATCATAGATAGAAAGCTGAAACTTTCACTGAATTTTATCCCAATCAAGGGACTACAATCCTTGAAAAATTCAGCTCATTTGCACTTATAGTTCCTGAGATAAAATCGTGTTAAGCAATTTGGGGTGATTTATCAATTTTTCAATTTTTCTGAGTGCCTTTTTTCATAGATTTCGACTTCAAATCTGAGAATAATTTAGTGTATGGAGTTTGGGGGATATTGATTGACCATTAGGATACAAAATCTCGACAAAAAAAAAATTTGAAATTTCATCGTTTTAGTAAGAAGGTCTCTACCTTATGATTTCGATTATGGAAAACTTTGGAAGGTCATAACTTTTTTACTATCATAGATAGAAAGCTGAAACTTTCACTGAATTTTATCCCAATCAAGGAACTACAATCCCTGAAAATTTCAGCTCATTTGCACTTATAGTTCCTGAGATAAAATCTTGTTAAGCAATTTGGGGTTATTTATCAATTTTTCAATTTTTCTGAGTGCCTTTTTTCACAGATTTCGACTTCAAATCTGAGAATAATTTAGTGTATGGAGTTTGGGGGATGTTAATTGACCATAAGGATACAAAATCTCAACAAAAAAAAAATATAAATATCAAATTTCATCGTTTTAGTAAGAAGGTAGCTTACCTTATAATTTAGATTTTGGATGGGCATAACTTTTTTTCTATTATAGATAGAAAGCTGAAATTTTCATAGATATTGGACATCAGCTTCAAATCTCGAAAATATTTAGTTTATAGAGTTTAGGGGATCTCAACTGATTATAAAAATGCAAAATTTTAACATAAAGATTAAAATATGATCATTTCAGTACTGAGGTTACCTTATGATGATTTTCAGAATAAAAAGAGGAAAATTAGAAGCTCATTATAGTAAAATTGCAGATTTTTCCAATAAAAACCAACACCATGGGAAATTAATGGAAATCAACATGCAAAATCTAAATTAAGCAAAAATGCAATCTTTTACATTTGAATATTTTTCTGGAAAACTACTGAAGGGAAAATTCTGAAACTTTTAGGATAAAAACAGGAAATTGAAGAGCTCATTATACTGAAACTCGAATTTATCGAGTAAAAAACAACCTAAAAAAATTGGAAACTAAGGATATTTAACGTAAATTCAATATAAAACGTATATCGTATACATAAAAATTATAAAACATAAACAGTAATAATTATTTTTTTGTTTTTTTGCAGTTTACTTTCTTGCTCAATTGATTTTGCTCAAAAATAATAAAAATTACGTTTTCATTTTATACTATTCTATAACTATAGAAAACTTGAAAAAACTTCTGAACAATGGTTTTTATCGATTCCCCCTCTATCCGTGAACTTCCTTTTGTCCTCGTCCAACAAACACAATTTTAAAGTGGGACAAGGTGACCTATCGTAGGAAACTGATTTATGTATAAATTTTCGTCTCAAAGACAACCAAAAAAACTTCAATTAATCTAATGAATCCGACGACGTCAATGGACCCTTGTCTGAGGCAAATGAAATCTCGAGAATGTTCCAAACCGTAAGCAATTTTAGGACCATAAGGGCCCTCTTTGGGAAACTTTTATCCTTGAGAGGGGTCTCAAGTTTTTCATATTCCGTTGCTTGTTTCAGGTATTGCAATGTTTGCCAAACTATAGTTGAAATGGAAATCAGCGGCCCTAGGAAAATTTACAGGAGTTGTTCTGCAAGGTATGTAATAGATGTAGATACAATAATTCTAATTGATTGCTTATCTTGTTTGTTTTATATAGGTCGTCTAAAAAACCTATAGGCAATCTACCGAAATCTTCGTATTCTTCACCGACTCCGCCGCCTCATAAGAGTCCTCTTTGGGAAGGCGCAGTTAGCTTTAATTCGTTTGAATCTACAAGAATTGGATCGCCAAAGTTGAGCTTGAGTAGTCCTACTGAGACTGAAAGATATCTTGCCGAATTTAATCAGAGAGGTAAGTTTTGAATTTCAATATTTTTCTACAAATATGAAATTCTTTTCATCAGTAGGTATAAATATCTTCATCATGAAAAATTCTCTCAAAGGGAGAGTCCAATCTAAATCCAATTAATCTTTTAATTAATTCCAATTGTCACGGATGTCATGTGTTCTTGATGGGTATCAATAAGGCCCATTTCCAGACGGTCAATTTATAACAAAAATATTTCTTTTTTTTTTATTGGCACTTGTCGACAAGAAGCCTGTTATTTTAATGAATTTATTTTTGTTTGCTCAAAGCGAAAGAAAAAATAAATCAATATAGTTTTGTTGGAAAATTGGCTCTAAAGATTTTTTTCAATTAAATTCGAAAAATGCTTTGTATGTACAGTCTTTACGGTAATTAGCTCCAGAGGGGTGATGTTTTTAAAAAATCTAAAAAAGAAATTTATAATATAAAGTGTGATATATTGAAAATTAGAAAATTTGCAATTAGTGTAATTATTGTTGAATTTTTATAGAGGAAAAATGTAAACAAAGTTAAAGGAATTATGAATGGAAAACTGAAAATAAGTATGAAATAGTCAATTTTGGTACGTTACAACCCCCCCTCTCCTACGATAGGAGGGAAAGTTAGAATGCAACTTTTCCGAGGATAATCTAAGCAAACTCGAGAACTAAGATATTTTAGGGTCTGTGCCGTCGGCTTGACCTCCTTTGAGATTACGCTGCGCTCTGCTCATGCTTTAACATCTTTTTTCTCTCTTATTTCCTCTACTACCCGCGCCGTGTCTCAGTGCTGCCTGTCTGCCGCCACGCTCTCCTACCACGACCACTCGACTACAGCGCAGCAGGCAGCGGTCCTACTCAGTACGCTTTGACTTTGCCTTCCGATAACATCAACTTTCAACGGTGTTGTACCGTTCGACGTAATTGGTTAAAGTGAATAATTTTTGGACAAAGTAAACAATATTTGGTTAAAGTGAATAATATTTAAAGTGAATAATATTTATTTTCAATGGTAAGTTTTGATAATGTTTAATATTATTTCTTTAGCAGCCTCATGGCTCGATTGTAGCATCCTTACGGCTGGATTCTAGCAGCATTTCGGCTCGAATTAAGCAGCCTCTCAGCTCGATTTAAGCAGCATCTCGGCTCAATTTAGCAGCCTTACGACTCGATTTGAGCGGCCTTGCGGTTCGTTTTTAGCGGCCTCATGGCACGATTTTAGCAGCCTTACGGCTCGATTCTAGCAACCTTACGACTCGATTTTAGCAGCCGTGCGGCTCGATCTTAGAGCCAGACGGCTCGATACGAGGTGCCGGGCGGCTAGATTTTAGCAGCCTTACGGCTCGATTTTAGCAGCCTTACGGCTCGATTTTAGCGCCAGTGCGGCTAGATCAGTGTCGGACTGGGGGTCATTTGGCCCACCGGGCAAATGGTGAAGTGGCCCACCCAACTCAAACCGTATTCAATAAAAACAATTTTGATAATCATTTGTTGAATCTGGTACCTAGTTTCTATAGGCATAAAAAAATAGGTACCTAAGGTTTCTTCCACCTATACCTGCCTCTATATTTTGTTGTTATTTACCGATGTAGTATGTAGTTTGTAGTTGTATATAAATTACCATTAAAAAGAGTAGGTAACATTAAAAAAACAACAGAATATAATATATTATCTCAGAATTGGGGCTAGAGGCTAATGTACTTCGGATTGTTCTACAGCTTATTTTTTTCTCCGCGAAGTCGAAGATGGTCTAGGTAATCTGGGCATTGGTCTTTCTGAACCCCTTTTTGATTTTTTTGGTATTGAAGGCAAGGCAGATTGCTGGGCTACTGCTTGATGTGCTGCTTTTAACAGTAGGTCATTTCTTGCAATTGGGGATAGTTTCTTCTGTTTCTAGAATCTCTGTAGAAATAGAACATGCAGGAGCATCCTCGAAACTTCCCTCGGTTGACGGATTTGTATTTGATTTAGTATTAAAAAAAGTTGTGACAGTTGTTGGCTGGATGCTGCAGATTCTAATAATTGCCGTTTTCTCGCGATCGCTCTTTTTTCTGTACCAATTTTATATAGCTTCCTCTTTCTCACCTTTCTGTTCTCGGACATTTAGGATGTATAAAAATAAAAAAATAGTAATAGCGTGGGAGGCGGAAGTCGAGATTTTTAAATGATGTTATTGTTTCAGAAGAGTTAATTTGTAAAGATATCGTAATCAATAAACAGAAAAACTATTTCAGTCATTATATAGCGTTGCTGATGAGTATGCTGATTTTCAGAAAAACTGGGTGATTAACTTGCGAAAAACGAAGAGTTATTAAAGCATTTTTGCGAGTCAATATTTTTCTTTCTATATCTATATCTACATATATAAAAACAAACAAATCAAAACCAAAACCAATGTGAGGATGTGGCTTTTTTTACAAATTACCTACCCTGTCTATGTATTTCTTAAAATCAACAACGGGTACCTAAGTCAGTTGAATTCAAATTCACTGGATTACGCGAAATAACGTATGATTTGATGATCAATAGCGTAGGGAGTGGGATATTTTAATTTATTTATATAAATGTTCGAATGGCCCACCCGTCGATGACGTCACCTGACCCACCGGGATTTTGCCCGGTTGCCCGGTGGGCCAGTCCGACACTGGGCTGGATCTTAGTAGCCAATTTTAGCAGCCTTACAGTTCGATTTTAGCAGCCTTCGGCTCGATTTTAGCAGCCTTACGACTCGATTTTAGCAGCCTTACGGCTCGATTTTAGCAGCCTTACGGCTCGATCTTAGTAGCCAGACGGCTCGATACGAGGAGCCGGGCGGCTCGATTCAAGCAGCCTTACGGCTCGATTTTAACAGCCTTGCGGACCGATTTTAGAGCCAGACTGCTCGATTTGAGGAGCCGGACGGTTCGTTTATGGGATTCGAATGGCTCGATTTTAAGAGCCCGACGGCTCGATTTACGAGCGTCACGGCTTGATTTTAAAGAGCCTTAGAGTTTGGCGTTATTTTATTCTTCACTGCGCCTCTAAGAAGGGCCAACACATTTCCTTTTGTTTTAGATGCTGTCTTAGTTTAGCACGAGACGACTCTCAGAGCTTGCGGACATTCCGACCTCTGATCCTAAAGACCAGCCAATTCTCGATAGGCTGATTCAAATGGCTCGAGAGTATCTCCTGGAGGGTTGGCAAGAGTGGAATATGCGATTTTTGATAAAGAAGAGTTGTTAGGAAAAGACTTGGATCCTCAGATCCTAAACAAGCTTAGGTTTGCTTTGCCACTGTTAGCCTGGCCCAAGCTTTCGATCCTGAGGCAACACCGCTACCAGAAAAAGTGTACAAGGTCTTGAAAATTAGAATGCTCTCATGGCCTTTCTGCGTCGGGCTTATCATAGGTCCTCCGGCTGTGGCGGCAAGAGTTAGTGCGTCAGCAGTCTAGAATGAACTGGTAGTGGCCTCCTTAAGTGAAATCAGACCGCTTCTGATTTCTAGAAAAGAGGCTTGCCGTCAGCTGTCCATAGGCTCGTCGGGTGAGGAAACGTCAGTCTCACAACCCAGTAGGACTTCCAAGATAAAATAAACCTGGTTGGACAAGCTGGAGAAAAGTAACTTGGAGATACGGGGTATGTTGACGTCGCTGTTGGATCGAATGGGCCCACATGCTATGAATTTAGATGAAGAGTTGACAGAAGAAGAAGAAGATATAGAAGAGGATTTTTCAGTCCAGTTGGAAGGTCCCTAGCTTGTTTATTGAACAATCATCACAGGAGGTGGAAGACATTGACTTTGCCCCCAGGACTCAAGAACAGCAGCCTTTGATTGCGCCACCTAAGCCACACATAGAGCAGCAGGGCATGGATTGTCAGAGGCTTAATTTATCATCATTTGACAAAATCAGATATCTAGAATCTCAAAAGAAACTCCAGGCAACGCCAATGTTCAACGCTTTGGCAGTTAATGTTCAGTTGGAGCGCATAAACCCGTTATTTAAATCTTCAGACAATCTTATCAGAATGGACACTTCCCTCGCTTGTATTTCACATAGTCTTCTCTTCCAGCGCGAAGCTTTCCGTACTGCATTAAGGAATGTAACATCAAAACATCCTTCCCTCAAGAGTGACATACAGGAGATCATGCTAAGCTCAGATTCTGAATTCAGAGCTGTTTCGGACAATCTGCTGCAGTACACCTGTGGCCGTAGGGCAGAAGTAATCGAGCAGAGAAGGAAATGCTTCAAACCGAACAGTGCAGTAGTTTCCACGCTCCTTTAGAATATCCCACCCTCGGGCACCCACCTATTTTAAGAAGAGCCGCTGGACGAGTTGGTGAAACAACACGGGTATGCGTTTCGTGGCAACTCCAAGTTTAAGGACCGTCCAAAGACATTTCATAGGAAAGAGTATAAACCAGCGAGTTAAGAAGCAATGACGAGCTGCCTCAGATTTTCAAAGGGGAAAGGCTTCAAGGCTTTGTGAAAAGATGGGAGGAAGCCGGTGCCCCAACAAACATTTTAAAATCAATAAAGGGTTACTCTCTGCCTTTCGTAAAGATTCCTCCGTCAACCTTTTTCTCCAAGGAAATCTTGACTCGTTTTTCTACACCGGAAATGAAGCAAGAGTTCGAAACGCTTTTAGCTCAGGGTGTAGTAGAGGAATCCATGGCAAACTCGGGCTTCCTGTCGAAGATGTTTTTAATCCCAAAATCAGATTGCAATAGGCGGACCATTTTCAATCTGCGAGCCCTAAATCAGTTTCTTTGCCCAAAGTAGTTTCGACTGATGAATCATCTAAAAGTCCCCAACTTTTTGCAAGAGGGAGGCTTTCTAGTCAAACTGGACATAACACAGGCATATTATCATATTCCAATGAAAACCCATCACAGACGTTTTCTATCCCTGGTTTATCAAGGCAAAGTTTTCCAAATGACTTGCCTCCCCTTCGGGTTGTCAACGGCCCCACTTGCCTTTGCAAGGATTTCGAACTGGATAGCAAGTCATCTAAGAGACAGAGGTTTGAGGATAATAGTCTACTTGGACGATTTTCTGTTAGCACATCAGGATCCTCGCCAGCTGTCTTCACATCTATCAATGACGATTCAGTTTCTGGAGGAGTTAGGATGGATAATAAACAAAGAAAAGTCGTTATGCCTTCCTCAGAACAAGATAGCGTTTCTAGGAATTTTGTGGGACAGGATAGAAAATACCATTTCCCTTCCAAACAAGAAAAAGGTCTCTATAAGAAGAGATCTGACCAACATAGTAAGAAACCGGCTCTGGACCTGAAGATCAGCCAAAAAGCTTCTGTGAAAGCTAAATTTCGCCAACTTCGCGATCCCTCTAGGGAGGTTGCACTATCGCCTGGTACATAAAGCAAGTCACGTATTGCCTCAATCGATGCCCCATCATCGGTCATAAAAGAATGCCAGTGGTGGCTCCGACACCTAAATACTTCGGCGCCATTATTTCCAAGCGACTCGGACATATATCTGACAACGGAAGCCTCGAACCTGAGTTGGGGATCGCAGGTTGGAAACGAGGCCATGAAAATGCCATGGTTGAAGGAACAGATCGATTGGCAGGAAAGAGCTTTATGCGGTATATGCTACAATCAAGCTATTCAAGGGCCTGGAAGAGAAAACGGTGCTATTGCAGTCAGACAACAGGACTGTAGTGTCGTATATAAAAAACCAAGGGGGAACGAAATCGGAGGTTTTGCTGAATCTCACAAGGAAGCTTCTCACTCTGGCGCATTCAAAAGGTATCTCCCTTCTGTGTCATTACATCTCGGGAGTGTGGAACGATGTAGCGGACAGCCTCTCAAGGGGTCGCCCCGTAGCAGACTGGCACCTATCTACTCAGGTGACGAGTCGAATATTCCAAAAGTGGGGCATGCTGATAGATCTATTCGCCTCGAGCAAGTCGAAAGTAGTTCCAATGTATGTCTCGAGAGACTCCCGAAACAAGGAAGCTCTATTCACAGACGCTTTCAGCAGGAAATGGAATTTCTCCCTAGCTTGGCTGTTCCCACCTCCTGTGCTGGTGCCTCGGGTTCTAAGGCATCTCAAGTCGGCAGCAGCCGGAATTTACCTGTTAGTAGTCCCCAGATGGGAGAAAGTGTTCTGGCACGCGGATTTAAAATGGCGAGCGAAGGCCCCACCATTCACGATTCGAGACCTCCAGCACCATCTGGTGGACATCTCCACAGGCCTCCCACTTCCCCAAGCTCAGCGTCTGAGTTTGGAGGTTTGGAAAGTACGGGGTGGGCGTAATTAACCGGGAACTGGGCTCAAGAGGATATACAGTTATTGGAGAATTCGTGGCGTAAAAGTACACTTAAGACGTATGCAGTACCATGGAAAAATTGGTTGGTTTACGCCAGAGAAAATAATGTATCACCCAAAGACCCAGATCCTAGCAAAGTGGCTTTATTTCTAAGTTATCTGTATAGAGTAAGAAAGTTGGCTCCAACAACCATCAAACTATACAAATCAGTCATTGCAACATTTGCGAACCCCATAAAGAATGAATGTATCTCAAGTCATCTAGTACGTCAAGTACTTAGGGCTATTGATAGCTCTCGACCCCCTTCAAATAGAAAAGTTATATGGGATGTTTCAATATTGATCAATTGGTTGAGGCGCGATTGAGTGGATAGAACCAGCTTGTTCCAAGTTTCGAGAAGATTAGCTTTGATTTTGCTGCTCTCGTCGGGTCGAAGAATACACGATTTAACTCTTTTAAGAATCGATAAGGATCATATAGTGATGGGGAAAGACAGTATCTGTTTATGGCAAGAGTATGGATCAAAAACCGACAAAGCCAAGTATAGGCAGTCTGGTTGGAAGCTTTCAGAGAATGCAGTGGACCCAGTGTTCTGGATAAAACAACTAATTGAAGTATCCTCAGACCGCAGAAAGGCTGTGCCCAAGCTTAATAAGCTATTTATATCGACTACAGGAAAAGTACAGGCGGCTTCTAGGACCGTTATTGCAGGTTGGGCAAAAACAGCGTTTGTGGTAGCAAACATAAATTATTCGCCTGGTAGCATTAGATCAGCGGTAGCTTCCACTAGATTTGAGAATAATGTTCCCCTTGATGACATATTAGGCAGTGGGAATTGAAAAGGTGAACATAACTTTTTCAAATATTACTACAAGGAAGTGCAGAGAAATAATCAGTCGATTAATAGGTCAGTTGATCTGGTCACTGATAAATCATTTGTGCCGGTGTGATTGTATAAAAATTTCATGCTTATACGTTTCCATAGTTGTTTATTATGTACTTAAGAGAGCAATTTTTATTTTTTATTCAAGAAGTAGGTTTTGTTATTTTTTTTTTGAAATATAACCTATTATATGTTCAATAAATGTTGAGTACAAACTGGTGGTCACGCTTATTTAATTGAATTAACCGGCAAATATGAAATATGATAATAATATCTAATTTATTGGGTGTTCACAGTACGCTTTCCGTGTCGTCAGAAACCAAACACTTCTCAAAGGGGGTCAAGCCGACGGCACAGACCCTAAAATATACACGTTTTTCCCCCGAAGGGTAAAAAACGATTATTTTAGGTCTTGCCTATGCTTGACCGAACAAGTTCTTGACGACTTTTGCGAAAGTACTGAGTAGGACCGCTGCCTGCTGCGCTGTAGTCGAGTGGTCGTGGTGGGAGAGCGTGGCGGCAGACAGGCAGCACTGAGACACGGCGCGGGTAGTAGAGGAAATGAGAGAGAAAAAAGATGTTAAAGCATGTGCAGAGCGCAGCGTAATCTCAAAGGGGGTCAAGCCTAGGCAAGACCTAAAATAATCGTTGTTTACCCTTCGGGGGAAAAACGTGTATAATATAAAGAATGTTAAATATATTTATATTTTGAATTTGAATGGAATCAAAATGACTATTAACGAACAACTAATAAAAGGTAAATAAGAATAAAGGTAGTTAGGTGCCCTTCCACTGGAACGAGTGTTAATTTGCCTCGAATCTTAAATTATTACAGAAGCACGATTCGCTTTTCTGAAATTGTTTTTGAAGTTTCTTGCCTAATTTTGTCATTATTTTTCCTCCGAAGGGTGCATTAATAAAATCACAAATCTTGAAGAAAATAAATTGGGCTCTGTTTAAAAACTCAATTTAAAATTATAATATGAGACTCTCAATTACACCAAAACCATATTTCCAAATCTAATCTAAAAACTACAAGCCAAAGCAATTTTATTGTAAATGGTTTCTCATTGAAATTTCAGGATTTAAGAGAAATAGGGGCCAGTAAATCTGGCTGCGGAATACGTAATGAACGAGACGCTTTTAGCCGAGTAAAATATTCAAAATGAAACCGAAATGGTTTGTTGCTTCTAAGTTTCTAAGCCCCTGGATTACGAAGCTAATGGTATTTGAAAAATGATTCTTCATAACCCAATAAATCCGACATTGCCGCTTCAAAGTTGAAATTTTGTCTCAAAAACTGAAAACTTTTTACCAAATTCATTATACTTAGAAGATAACAGAGAAAAGGTGTTTTGTCTGATGGACAGGCCAATTTCCAAAAACGCCCCTGCGAAACAAAGATAACCTAAAGTTTTCCCGGTTGCCTGACAAAACTTTGAGGAATATTCACTCGAGAGTTTTCGTTTTCCTATTAAAAGCCACTGTAATTAAAATCAGTTTTCCTCTCTAAGATAACAAATACATTGTTCCTTGCAAAACATTTATCGCTTTTCGAATCAATTAAAATATTCTAATAATAATAGGAAATTTTAGGTAGGTATGCTGAATTTTCCTAGAAGGATGTGTGAGGCTTAGAAATAGGATTCTGATTTCATATGTTGGTTCATAGTGTTGTCAATTTTCAACAAATTTACTTGTATTACCTACCTATAGGTTTTTTTAAAAGAGAATTGAATTCTCATAAAACTCCAGCCTTCACTGTCATACAAATAATGAAAATTGAAAATAAATTATGTCGATACTATAATTTAAAATTAGACAAATAATCTCCATTAAAGGTGGCAAAAATTCCCGGAGCATTAACTCCATTATCAAATTGAAAATTTATTATGCGAAACACGCAGACGGGGTGACCTTTTCTTACGAAATTATTGAACTCTCAACAATTCTAAAAGGGTTGCTTTGGAGGATTTCGCCCTTGTAAAACTACTAATGATTTTCGTATTGTCAACCCTACATGGGACGACGGGCTATAACCAAATTCAAAACACTGAACCACGGGTTATAACAAATAACTGCAACTAAGCAAGAAAACACAAATTAACCTAATCATAGTCAGCAAATATTGGATATAAAAGCCCGGGCCACACTATGGCAAATCAGTCGTGTCTCAGCGCTTCGCTGCAATCAGTAGGTGTTTAGAGACGACTCAAAGTTGGGGAACTATCAGGACTGATAAAGTTAATACGCTATCGTATCTCTATCAGGGCAGATACTCTCTGACGACCCAGGCTTTGACCTACAGTGAAAAGGCTTTCTAGATTTTCCTGTAGGGCTGGTTTGGTTGTTTAACCTTGCAGGGGTATACCCGACGTTTGACTGTCCGCCCCTTTTTTGAGCTTCACCACCTGAAGGGACGTTAGCTGGTCCCAGATGACGATGATGTGGTAATAACTAAATATTCATGTTTCCGTAATCTTCGTCCTGTAACAATATATATTAGCTATTTAAAACTGTTCTGGTGTTTCCCTGTTACTCCTCCCTTCCCGTTCTGCTTTTCAGGGTGAATAGTCGAGCTACACAGCGAAGCAGAGACGTTTCGTGACATTTGGTGGAGGCGCCTCTTTCCTGGACCCCCTTGATGACCTAGCCAAAGAGTCGATACCAGGACCACCCGGGAAGACAGAAGACCAAGAAGGCCTCTAGCAGGGACAGAAGAGGAGGAAAAACCCCAGTAACCTTCCTTTCACCCTATCCTAGAACACCAGAAATAAATAAAACAAAAAAATACTTAGCCATAATCTTTAATAAAAAATTAATTACAATCAAAATTAAACATTCCTTGCGAAATTTAAAATAGCCAGACGATAAAACAAAAACACCGATATGCGTAGCAAGCAATAAACTGGGGACCCACTTAGAAAAATACAGTGTTTCCAAATCGACAGAAAACGACGCTGATGGTCTATTTCTGTGAAGTTCGCCATCAAGTCAGGAAAATATCGAACTGATGAGTAAAGGAAATTACTACTTGAGGTCCACGTCGAGTGAAGACGAACATAGTCCAAACGCCGAAAGCACTCAGATTGCAGACGAAATATTTCAGCGAAGAGAGAAGCCAAGATTGGATTTTTCAGAAATTTTAGGAACGGGAATAAGTAACTACTTGAAACATCAAAGTGAAGAAGTCTCGGAAGAAGAGAATCCAGAAGAAACTGTGATAGTAGCAAAGCAGGACAAAGTAACACCAAACCGGAAAACACAAACAGCTATGGCGAATACCACAATCCAAGACGCAATCGCCACTGGTAGAAAGGCGACGATTCCTCAATTTATAAGCCCTATAACTTTCCACCCTTGCAGGGGCATTGCGGCCGAATTTCTAAGGAGCTACGAGAGAACAGCAATAGCAAACGGATGGGATGACACATTAAAAATAACGTACTTAGAAACATTTTTAGATGGCGCTGCTAACATATGGTTCCAAGAATACAAACAAAACAATCAAGATAGCAAATGGAATGACATTGTAAGGGATTTTTCTAAAGAGTTTGAAGACGCCAACTACCAGACGGCACTAAAAAGGAAAGTGGAAGAACGCAAACAAGACTCGAAAGAAACAGTCGGTGACTATCTGTACGAATTAAGGGTTCTCTACCACGACTACAAGAATGCCATCGATATAGAAGAATTTGTAACCATTTTCAGCAAAGGGTTGACTGAAGAAAACTTCTACCACTATTACTGGCTCACGAATCCGCCGAATGGCCCACCAGACACACTCGAAAAATTAAAAGAAATTGCTGGGACCATAGATAAAGCGCCAAGGAAGGAGTTAGGAGGAAAAAAGGACCCACAGAGTCAAAGAGACGAAACGCCAAGAGCAGGCAACCAAGCACCCCAAAATGACAGGAATCAGGTAGTGTGTTATTATTGCGGAAAAAAGGGACACATTGCGACAGTATGCAGAAGCAGACAACATCAGGATCGGTCAAATAGGAACAACATGAAATGTGATAACTGCGGAAAGATCGGGCACGCTGCGGCAAGTTGCAGAAGTCAACCACAGAGAAATGAAAATTATAAGCCCCGAAATTATGGTAATAGCCCGGTATGTTACAACTGTGGGAAACAGGGACATTTCGCAGCCACCTGCAGAAGCCAAAAACAGTACCCAAACGAAAGGGGATGGCAAAAATAGAGACCCCAGCCATCCTAGCCCTAGGGGATTCATCTAGAATAGGAATCTTATGCATCACAGTTACAATAAATAATAGGAATTTCTCGGCTATAGTCGACACGGGAGCCCAAAATAACGTCATACCAACACAATTGATAACAGGAAAAATAGAGACGGACAATAACACGATATTAGTAGCCGCAGGAGGACATCGAATACCAGTATTGGGAAAAATGACAACTCCAATGGAAATTACAAGGAGCTCAAAGTGGAAAGGCGTATTAAGGGCAAAAGTCATC